CCCCCCCCCCCCCCTTTCCGTCGAGTGCCTTTCGCGTAACCACAAATTATCGGGAAAGCGTTGCGACGGACTTGCAGCGATTTCGAGAATCCGCATCGAATCGAAACTTTCGGGAAGGTCATAAATAAAGTAGACGACTCGAACGGGGGTGCTCCCACTCTGCGCTTAACCGCTTTATTATGCCGTAAATCAATTCGTTGGGGTGTCGGTCTGGTTGCGGAGGGGTAGTTTTATGTTATTCTCTGAGCGAGGATATTGAAGAGCTATTGAAAGAAAGAAGGCTGAAAAACCGCCTCAATTTCACAATCAGAGCTATAGTTCAGGAACGATATCGTAAAATGTTTTTACTTTCTTAATAATATGTGACATCTATCATTTATCTCATTATCTGTATTCCTAAATGTATTGGTTTTTTGATAATGCACATTTTTCAATTGTAAAACTAAATAAACCATTAATATATTTATCGTTTTTAATTATAAGTTTTAGCAACTTTCTGCTTTTATAAATTATATAATAATATAAGCAAGATAGGTAAACATACATGCAGTGAATAAATAGAAACATGTTCATAAAACACGTTCACTGCTATAAATTTTGAAGAAATTAAAAAATTTCCTCTCTTTCTAATTTATTATTTATTAAACATCTCTCTCTCTTTCTCTCTTTCACACACACACACACACACACACACACACACACACACACACACACACACACACACACACACACACACACACACACACACACACACACACGCGCGCGCGCGCGCGCGCGCGCAAATGTGTGATATGCACGATAAGCAAAAAAGCATTGAACGACACCGTTAAACTGCAGTTAAATATGGCATAACTTATATGTTACAAATCTAATATCATATCACAAGTCAAAATTTCATTTCTTGAAAATATTTGCACAATGCTCAATTTCTATTAACTGTTTCAATCGTGAGAATTGTGGTAGATTGATTTTTGAACGGTAAAAAATTTATATTTACTTTCCCTTAACTATCCTTTATAATTTTCTTTTATTACAATACAATATATGCTATTAAATGCAATAGCATCAGTTAGAATTACAATCTGTACAGAAATACTTTTGCATAATTTCAAACTTTCTCTCAAGAAACATGTATTCGAGGTATATTAAGAAGACTCTCAATCCTCTTTCTCTCTCTCTCTCTCTCTCTCTCTTTCTTTCCCTCTGTTACTCTTTCTCTCTCTTTCTTTTTGCCGGCTCCGTGGCCGACGCATTAGAGGGTGTCCTGGGCGTGAAGGTGTCCGTCATAATTTGCCACCCGGCGCATAATCCCCGTGACAAAGGCCGACAAAGTGACGGCTGTTACTTGGACCGGCAGCGCACCGTATACTAGCTGCAGGGAATCCGGTAGCAGGTAAAACGTTTAAAGATACCGTGCGCCGCAGTCAAAGAGATGAATCACGCCGTAGATAAATGGCCGCGATCTGAACGGCTTTTTACGGCGAGGCGAGGCGCGGCGCGGCGCGGCGCAGCGCACTCATGCGAGGTCCGGGTATTCGCGCATCCGTCGATATTTTATTATCGTTAGTGCACGTGATAAAGAGAAAGAAAGAACCTTTCGTCGTTCTTCTCGACAAAAATATTTTCTTCTTCGCGATTTTTATCGAAAAATTTCATTCAGAATGACTTAATATTTAAGAATAAAACAGAAAATTTACTTTTTCCTCCATTACTTCATATGCTATTTCATGAATGTAATTATGTTCTTATATACTACTTTAACTAAATATATATTCTTTTGTATGTACTTTAACTTATACATACTTAATAATTATTTACACTATTTTAAAAACCTTGATTTCCGAATAGTTAATTTCAAAGGTTTTGCAGAGAAATTTTACGAGACCCTTATCGATCGAAATGCATTGGATTTTAATTTAGATTACGTAATTAACCGCAAATACAATTGAAAAAATAACCCACTGAAAAATAATTATTGTTTTTATCTCTTTAAACAATATTTATTCGTTTATGTTTAATAATCTTCTTCGTTGCTGAATGAATTGAAAAAATTAATGAAAGGAATTTTATAATTGCATTTTATATAAATTTTCCTCTGCCATAGTACGTACATTATAATTTCATAAAATAAATGAGTTATTCAAAAACAGGTTTAATTATTGATGGATAATTAAAAACATTTCCCATCGGAATTATTTTCGATTTCGATTCTTGCAATACTAATAATACTCAATTTTGCAGCTCGATATCGAAGTGATTTTATTTCATTTTATGTTCTCATCCATTTCAAATATAAACAAAAATTTTCCTCAAAATTGATATGTATGTATATGTATATGCACAAATACATACACATGTATTTTGTATTTTTCCACAATTTAACAATGTATAGAACTGTAAATACATGGTTTATATATAACGTGTAGTTTTCTTTTCAATTTTCATCAAAACTGATATGTGGATTATTATATTAGTTAATTCTAATATATTTCTCGCGATATTTCTTTTACACAGAGTTATAAAAAATATTATATTATATATAAACAGAATATTAACAAATTTTCAATAATATTATTATGCATATATTACACAATTGCAAAATACTGCTTTAAATTAAAAAAAAAACTAACTGATATTCTGCACATATGATATTTATTGATATTTAATGTAAGTAGTTAAAATATGAAGTCCTTTCTATCGGTTTGAGACATATCTAGAGGCCATCGATTCCTTTTATCTTTTCGCATAAGTAAACGATCTCGAACTTTAGCATCGGAGCAGAAATGACGTTGAACGGCAATGCCCTGCTTTACGAGTTCGTCCTCCACAAAAGAAGCATTCGCTTCCGCGAGATTAAGGAGCTGGCTGATCCGCCTCCCCCGTCGCGAATTCATTTGTTCCACACCTGATTCTCTCTCGAGGTTGACTGACTCTCGTGGTTGGTGATGCGTGGCATTCCGCCGATGCGGCGTGCGCGAATGCACACGCATGGAATGATGGA